CTTACAACTGGACTAATAACATCACAATATATGGAGAAAAGATTGAAGTTGTTAAAGACTTCATTTTGCTTAGATCCACAATCAACATTTACGGAAGCTGTCAAGAAATCAAACTACTTGTTGCATTATGGAAATCTATTACAAAAGACCATTTTACAGTGTTCAAAAGCAAATATCAGTTTGAGGACTAAGGTGTACCAGACCTAAGTCATGGTATTTTCAGTAGCCTCTTACATATGTGAAAGTTGGACAGTAAATATGGAAGACCATAAAAGAATTGATGCGTTTGAGTTATAGTGCTAGAGAAAAAAAATATAAAAGTACCATGGACTTCCAGAAGAACAAATAAATCAGTGTTGGAAGAAGTACAACCAGAATGCTCCTTAGAAACCAGGAGAGCCTGATCTTGTCTCTTACAGTTCTGACACATTATCAAGTAGGACCAGTCCCTGGAGAAAGAAGGACATTATGCTTGGTAAAGTGGAGGATCAGAGATCAAGATGAAGACTCTTAATTAGATGGATTAGCACAGAGGCAGCAATAGGCTTACACATAACAATTGTGAGGGTGGCACAGGACTGGACAGTGTTTTGTTCTGTTGTGCATAGGGCTGCTATAAGTTGGAACCAACTAACAATAACAGTGTCATTAATAGTAGTTGTGGTTGTGTGCTATCAGTCAGTTCTCACTCATAATGACCTTGTATAAGATTTTGTGAATCATTAAGAGCATATAAAAAACGATCTTTCTCTCAAGGAGAACTGATGGATTTGAACTTTTGACTTTTGTGGTTACCAGTCCAGTGCATAATCCACTATACCACTATGGATTCTTAATAATAGTTGTTGTTGTTACGGGACATCGAGCCACTCCCGACTAATAGTGCACAGCAGAGCAAAACATTGCCCAGTTGTGTGCAAACCTTACAATTGTTGCTATACTTGAGCCCACGGCTGCTGCCTGCCACCGTGCCAATTTTGTGGCCACTGTGCCAGTAGTACTATTAATAGTAGTAGCAGCAGAAACAGTAAGGGCTGAGCTGTTTTATTTGGATTCGCTCATTTAATCCTCACAACCACACCATGTTGTATATTCCATTATACCCATTTGACACTAGAGTAACTGGAGACAATAGACTCATACTCTAAACCACTTGAATATATTATTATGTATTCTCTAACTTTTGTAGATACCCTAAATCATGGGGTCCTCTCCATAGTGAAATGAACGTGGGGTGGGGGTGGGGGCTAGGTGTATACCACAGGTGAGTCCTTAACAACAACAAAAAAAGCTGCCATCAAGTAGATGTCAACTCATAGAGACCCTGCAGGGCAGAGTAGAACTGGTCCATTGTTTGTTGTTTTTCTTGTTAAATGCCATCGAGAAGGTTCTGACCCATTGTGACCCTGTATTAGGGTTTCCGAGGAGCAGCTGGTGAGCTTGAACCGCCAACCTTGCAGTTCAAATGGCTTTGCAGTCTGGCGCATTAACCCACAGCGCCACACCAGGACTCCTTCCATAATTTACAAGACTGTAAATTTTTACCAGAGCAGACTGTCACATCTTTCTGCCGAAGAGAAGCTGGTGGGCTTGCTCAACTAAAGATAGTAACTAGGCTGTTCTAGGTTCCGCTGCCCACAGACGCAGGCGGCCTCAGTTAAAGTGCAGTCACTGCACACCCCCAGCACTCTGCAGAGGCGGTGGGTATGACGGCGAAAACTGTAGCACACCAAAGCCTAGCTGCTCACCTGGTGAGAAATGTGCCACTGTGAAATCACGTTAAAACCTGGTTAATTTATAGGAAGGACTGGGAGGACCAATGGCTTCGCTTCCGGTCGGCCGCGCCCCGCCCCTGCGCCGCTTCCTCCCAGCTATCGGTACCTGAAGGAACAGCTCGTAAAGAATCTCTTCCCGCACTCGAGTCTCTAAATTCCCCACAAACACGGTCCTGTTCGCCTCTTCCTGAGCAGGAAACATCCCTTCAGTCTCAGCCTCAAGGATGAAGTTGGTGTCTCGACCCAACCCCCGCCTCGTTTTATTGCGCCGCCGGGGCGTGGAGGCGGGGACGAAGACAGAGACAAGATTGCGCGCACCGGAGGCGGGGCCTAGGCAGCGTGGCCACGCCCACTGTCTGACCTGACCTGCTCACTTTGTGGCTGATGAGTGCTAGG